ACGATAGTATTCTTTTTAATAACATCTTCTTGCATTAAATTCAAAAGATTGTCTCAAAGTTTACTCAGGGAAGTCCTGCAACTAGTGCAAAGATTACAAGATTACACGTATATATCCTTAACTCTATGCATGTATCGATGACAGAGAAATACATTACTTAATCTTGGATATCAAAGATTTAATATTATACCACATTTTCATATGTTGAATTGACTGACAACAAAATGCCATTTCATTTGATTTATATCGGTTTGAAAGTACCACAGTCATTGCAATGGACACTGTTTTTTTTACATACACTACACATTCTGCATAACAACTGTATCATAAAAATTATAATTATTATCAGTTCTGGCAGGATGCAGTAGAAATCATTCATTTTGAGTCAGTCAATACAACACAATGAGGATAATTACAGTATTTATAACATCACTACTGAGATGCTCTTTTCAAAACTGATCTTTATTTCAGTTTTCTCCAGCGTATATGTTATTTAGCTGAAATCTCTGCCAGTTAAGATGACTGGAGCAATCAAAGTCCAGACATATAGTACAATACACAGCCAACATGATGTCATCTTCACCCATACTGATGACCAGCTGTGACCATAGCTAACCAAAGATGATGCCCATGGACTGAAATAAAACACAAACATACATATATAAATAAAGGCCAGAAGATAGAGCACTCTGTGTTCTCCCCAAAATATACACAGTACTGTGGTACGCTACAGCACTTTGTTTTACTGCCACACCGCTCTAACTCTGCCAGTCATTACCCAAGCCACCACAGTGGTTTAAATTTCTGAGGAGAACAAAGACCCACATAAAGACATCTGTGAGGCATTGCATGGTTCAGAAAACATCATGGTATAGTAATAGACAAGTGGAGACCATATTTTTATTATATTTAGCCATACTTACTTGTACCAGTTAGTGAGTGTCATCATGATGTAAAGAGAAGCCAAGAAGAACATGAAGTGAAAGAATGAGTAACTATAAGCAACACCGTCTTTTTCATTATCATATACTTTCTGGTCTTCTTCATCTCCACTCTCACCTCCAGCTTCTATTGAGAACAAATATCATTACTAATATTAAATACCACTCTGGGTCATGTCAGGATACATAACAATACACCATTTGCCATTCACTGTGAGAGACGTAGAGAAGTCAAAACATTGCAAAAGTATTTTGGGGTATTTGGGCTTAAATTCTATACACATTTGATTATAGTCAATTTTGATGAAGTGAGAGTATCTGAATGCAATATGCCCTTCTTCATAGACTGGCATTTCGGCGGAGAACACTGGTGTTACATCGGGACTATATCGAACAAGATAGGCCAAGCCAACTGTGGCACTCTGAATAACATAAAAAACAAGTCATTGTCAATGACACGTCCCCGTTCGTTCATATTTGAGTGACATATACATTCAAAGCAGATCATGACCGAAATGCACCTGCATATGTACAACACATTGTGCTAAATCTGAACAAAATCCATCCATGCATGACTGAGATCCGGTTCTGGAATTGTGAAAATACGTGATTTTGATGCATTTTCGGCCTTAAAATGGCCATCATTCCACTATTGTTAAGCAGATCATGAAACAAATGCACATCTCTATTTGTGACATGATGTACCATGTGTGTGTGAAGTTTGAACTTGATCAATCCAGACATGTTTTGGATACGGATCCAGAACTGAATTCTTTAACAAAATGGCCGCCAGTCGGCCATTTCGAACTTGATCCGAAAAAAAAAAAGACGTGCATCAAGGTCCTATTATGTTTAATGTATGTACCAAATTTGAATGAAATCCGTCCATGCATAACTGAGATCCGGGTCCGGAATGGTGAAAATGTGCGATTTCAATGCATTT